CTGTGCCAGCCCTGGCGCGTCCGCACGGTGAGGAGCACACCGGCCCCCTGTCGCTGGCCTCCCAGCGTTTCCACCACATCCTGCGCGTCGCCGCCGCTGTGGGCGAGCATGAGAAGGTGGTCCAGGTACCCGCCTTCCTCTGAAACCCTGACGCCCTCTGCCTCTGGCACGGCAGCAGAGAGGGGGGGAGGGGGACGGGGGACTGGCAGGGGGTCCCTGTGCTCTGCTGGGGTCCTGGGATGCAAGTTGTGGGCCTTCTGCTCTAGTCCAGGGTGGGCGGGGTGTCCTGGGAGCGGAGGAGCTCTATTTTGGATGTGGGTACCCAAGGTAGAGGTGGACTTTTCCTCCCCCTCCCCCCGGAAAACCTACCTAAGCTGCCTCCAGTGCTAAGCAGCTTTGGATTAGCAGCTGGAAATCTGTGACCCATCCGAAAACCTGGGTGAGGAGGGGCCGTGGGGTGGGGAGGACCTACAGGGCTGGGTGAGGAGGGGCCGTGGATGGGGAGGACCCACAGGGCTGGGTGAGGAGGGGCCGTGGATGGGGAGGACCCACAGGGCTGCGTGAGGAGGGGCTGTGGATGGGGAGGACCCACAGGGCTGCGTGAGGAGGGGCTGTGGATGGGGAGGACCCACAGGGCTGGGTGAGGAGGGGCCGTGGATGGGGAGGACCCACAGGGCTGGGTGAGGAGGGGCCGTGGATGGGGAGGACTCCACAGGGCTGGGTGAGGAGGGGCCGTGGATGGGGAGGACTCCACAGGGCTGGGTGAGGAGGGGCCGTGGGGTGGGGAGGACCCACAGGGCTGTGTGAGGAGGGGCTGTGGATGGGGAGGACCCACAGGGCTGCGTGAGGAGGGGCCGTGGATGGGGAGGACTCCACAGGGCTGGGTGAGGAGGGGCTGTGGATGGGGAGGACCCACAGGGCTGCGTGAGGAGGGGCTGTGGATGGGGAGGACCCACAGGGCTGGGTGAGGAGGGGCCGTGGATGGGGAGGACCCACAGGGCTGGGTGAGGAGGGGCTGTGGATGGGGAGGACCCACAGGGCTGGGTGAGGAGGGGCTGTGGATGGGGAGGACCCACAGGGCTGGGTGAGGAGGGGCTGTGGATGGGGAGGACCCACAGGGCTGCGTGAGGAGGGGCCGTGGATGGGGAGGACTCCACAGGGCTGGGTGAGGAGGGGCTGTGGATGGGGAGGACCCACAGGGCTGCGTGAGGAGGGGCTGTGGATGGGGAGGACCCACAGGGCTGGGTGAGGAGGGGCCGTGGGGTGGGGAGGACCCACAGGGCTGGGTGAGGAGGGGCCGTGGGGTGGGGAGGACCCACAGGGCTGCGTGAGGAGGGGCCGTGGGGTGGGGAGGACTCCACAGGGCTGTGTGAGGAGGTGCTGTGGATGGGGAGGACCCACAGGGCTGTGTGAGGAGGTGCTGTGGATGGGGAGGACCCACAGGGCTGGGTGAGGAGGGGCTGTGGATGGGGAGGACTCCACAGGGCTGTGTGAGGAGGGGCCGTGGGGTGGGGAGGACCCACAGGGCTGTGTGAGGAGGTGCTGTGGATGGGGAGGACCCACAGGGCTGCGTGAGGAGGGGCCGTGGATGGGGAGGACTCCACAGGGCTGGGTGAGGAGGGGCTGTGGATGGGGAGGACCCACAGGGCTGCGTGAGGAGGGGCTGTGGATGGGGAGGACCCACAGGGCTGCGTGAGGAGGGGCCGTGGATGGGGAGGACTCCACAGGGCTGGGTGAGGAGGGGCTGTGGATGGGGAGGACCCACAGGGCTGGGTGAGGAGGGGCTGTGGATGGGGAGGACTCCACAGGGCTGCGTGAGGAGGGGCCGTGGGGTGGGGAGGACCCACAGGGCTGGGTGAGGAGGGGCTGTGGATGGGGAGGACCCACAGGGCTGGGTGAGGAGGGGCCGTGGGGTGGGGAGGACCCACAGGGCTGGGTGAGGAGGGGCTGTGGATGGGGAGGACCCACAGGGCTGGGTGAGGAGGGGCTGTGGATGGGGAGGACTCCACAGGGCTGCGTGAGGAGGGGCCGTGGGGTGGGGAGGACCCACAGGGCTGGGTGAGGAGGGGCTGTGGATGGGGAGGACCCACAGGGCTGGGTGAGGAGGGGCCGTGGGGTGGGGAGGACCCACAGGGCTGGGTGAGGAGGGGCTGTGGATGGGGAGGACCCACAGGGCTGGGTGAGGAGGGGCTGTGGGGTGGGGAGGACCCACAGGGCTGGGTGAGGAGGGGGCCGTGGATGGGGAGGACTCCACAGGGCTGGGTGAGGAGGGGCTGTGGATGGGGAGGACCCACAGGGCTGGGTGAGGAGGGGCTGTGGATGGGGAGGACCCACAGGGCTGGGTGAGGAGGGGCTGTGGATGGGGAGGACCCACAGGGCTGGGTGAGGAGGGGCCGTGGGGTGGGGAGGACTCCACAGGGCTGTGTGAGGAGGGGCTGTGGATGGGGAGGACCCACAGGGCTGGGTGAGGAGGGGCCGTGGATGGGGAGGACCCACAGGGCTGCGTGAGGAGGGGCCGTGGATGGGGAGGACCCACAGGGCTGCGTGAGGAGGGGCCGTGGGGTGGGGAGGACTCCACAGGGCTGTGTGAGGAGGGGCTGTGGATGGGGAGGACCCACAGGGCTGGGTGAGGAGGGGCCGTGGATGGGGAGGACCCACAGGGCTGCGTGAGGAGGGGCCGTGGATGGGGAGGACCCACAGGGCTGCGTGAGGAGGGGCCGTGGGGTGGGGAGGACTCCACAGGGCTGTGTGAGGAGGGGCTGTGGATGGGGAGGACCCACAGGGCTGGGTGAGGAGGGGCCGTGGGTCAGCCACAGAGCTGGGCGCCGTGCTGCTGTCTCTGGTTGGGGCTGTTGTCTTCAGTCAGTGTGGGCTTCTTGGTCTGTAGCCACTCCCTAGCATTGGGAGCAGATTCCTACACCCATATCTACAGGGGCCCACTAGGTGGTGTCTGCCGTGAGGGGCAGGGTGCCAGGCCCAGGCACGGCACTGAGGCCCTGCTGCCCGCAGGGCTTGTTTGACAACTTCCTGAGACTCCGGTTGCGGGACTCCAGCCTGGGCACGGTGTGCTCGGGCCTTGACTGGCTGGCCTTCAATGACCTGGTGGAGGGGGCTGCCTACCAGGGCCAGAACTTCCAGCTTCTGTGCTACCTGCCCTTCCTCCCTGCGGCCTTCCACGTGCTCTTTGCCTGCAGCCACGTGCCGCGCATCTCCTTCCCCAGCAGTCAGCAGGAGGTGAGCCCGCCCCACCTGCGCCCCGGCCCAGCCTCCCAGCCTCTGGCTTTTCCCAGCTCGGCCCTGGCTCACTCTCTGCCCCAGGCCCAGAGCCGCATGAGCCACACAAGGAACCTGATCCAGACGCTGGTGTCGGGCATCACGCCGGCCACCCGCAGCCGGGCCACGCCGCAGGCCCTTGTCCTGGACACCCTCTGCCTGCTTCTGGACGTCCTCGCGCCCAAGCTGCGGCCGGTGAGCGCTGCGCACCATGGAGACGCGCGGGCTCTGGCTGCCGGGCCTTCCCTGCTCAGCCTCCTCTCCGCTCCTCTGTCTAGGTGAGCACGCAGCTGTACAGCGCCCGGGAGAAGCAACAGCTGTCCAGCCTGGTGGGCACCATGCTAGCCTACAGCCTCACCTACCGCCAGGCACGCACCCCGGATGGGCAGTACCTCTATAAGCTGGAGCCGTGAGTCCCCCAGAGCTCATGGCGGGGAGGCCGGGGGGTCCCACGGGTGAGCTTCCCACGGGTGGCCCAGGCCAGCGCAGCCGTGGCCATGCTGGGGGCCCTGCTTGGGGATCCTTGCAGAGACGCGCAGACTTGGCGTCTCCCTTGTGCGTGCCCGGCTCCCTTTGCTGTGGCGTGTGGCTGCCGCAGGCTGGGTCCTGCTGCCCGCGAGAGGCCCGGCCAGCCCTGGCCCGGGCAGCTTCAGCTTCTCACAGCACCCCCCCGGTACAGCTAGGGCGCTCGCCGTGGGCTCATGTGCATGTGCCAGGGGCGCTGACTGCCGGGGGAGGCGTGGCGTGGCAGGATCTCCCTCGCACCCCTTGCGCCAGGTCAGGCGCCATCGGTGTCTCTGGCTGGTGACCAGTGCCCTGGTGTCCTCTGACCACTTGAGCAGGAACGTGGAGGAAGTTTGCCGCTTCCCTCAGATGCCCGCCCGCAAGCCCCTTACCTACCAGGCCAAGCAGCTCATTGCCCGGGAGATTGAGGTGGAGAAGATGCGGCGGGCAGAGGCGTTGGCCTGGGCCGGAGACAGCCCCCAGGTGAGCTGGCCCCCAGCCCCAAGGTGGACGTGACCGTGGCCTGGCCCTGTTTAATGACCCTCACATCGCTCCTGCAGGTGGCCGGGGTCTCCCCAGGCCCTGCCAGCCCGCAGGGGAGCAGTGCAGAGAAAGGGGAGAAGCGGCCTGCCCTGCGCAATCACGAGCAGCGGCTGGAGCACATCGTGAAGAGGGTGGCGCTGGAGGCACAGGTGCGGGGCTGGGTGGGGCGGCCTTGCGGGAGAGGCCGGCCGTGCGGCCTCCTGGGCTGGAGTGGCTCCCTGGCCTTGGCACGTTGCTCAGAGGTGGTTGTGTCCTTTCTGCCCTGGGAAGGCCTTAAGTCCCTTCTCTCTCCTGATCTGCTGGCCAGACCCATTCCCCGTCCTCCCCCCCCACCCCAGGCCACGGGTCTGATGGCTCTTTTCCCACCAGCCCGAGAGGGACTTCTTTGGACGAGTGGTGGTCAGGAGAGCCGCAGCCCCAAGCACAGGTGTGTGGTGGCTGGGAGAGGCGGACCGGGGCGGGGGGCCGGGGGGGGGTCGTAGGAGGTTATTTGGGGTGAAACGGTGTGGTCCCCACAGAGGCCAAGGCTGCAGAGGACGCTGCCGAGTTGCGTATGGGCGCAGCCCTGGGCAGGAGCGAGGTGTGGTTCCGCTTCAACGAGGGGGTCTCCAACGCTGTGCGGCGCAGCCTGTACATCAGGGACCTGCTGTAGGCCCGCCCCAGGGCTGGCGGCGCTGCCCCCAGTGTACGCAGACGCAGACACAGACACAGGGAGAAGTCTTTATAAACCCGCAGCGCGCTGCTCAAACCGCGCTCACAGGATGGCACACTTGGCCTTCTCCACCCAGGGGTTGTTCTTCATCAGGTCGGGGTTCAGAAAGGGGTCCTTGGGGATCCCGTCCTCAATCCACTTCAGCAGCCTGTGGGTGGGGCCGGCATGAGTGCGGGAGAGTGCCAGCCGCCATCTTGGCTACCCCTCCCGTGCCCCCCCCTGCCCATCCCCTGGCCCCTCCCAGCCCCCCTCTGGCCTTTCCTATCCCTCTCTGGCCCCTCCCGTGTCCTCCCTGCCCCCCACCCCCCGCCCCTCCCGTGACCCTCCCTCTGGCCCCTCCCATGCCCCCCCTCTGGCCCCTCCCATGCCCCCCCTCTGGCCCCTCCCATGCCCCCCCTGCTGGCCCCTCCTGTGCCCCCCAGCCCCCCCTCTGGCCCCTCCCGTGCCCCCCCCCGCTGGCCCCTCCCGTGCCCCCCAGCCCCTCCCGTGCCCCCCCCGCTGGCCCCTCCCGTGCCCCCCCCGCTGGCCCCTCCCGTGCCCCCCCAGCCCCTCCCGTGCCCCCCCAGCCCCTCCCGTGCCCCCCCAGCCCCTCCCGTGCCCCCCCAGCCCCTCCCATGGCCCTTCCCGTGCCCCCCCCCCGCTGGCCCCTCCCGTGCCCCCCCGCTGGCCCCTCCCGTGCCCCCCCAGCCCCTCCCGTGGCCCCTCCCGTGCCCCCCCAGCCCCTCCCGTGGCCCCTCCTGTGCCCCCCCCCCGCTGGCCCCTCCTGTGCCCCCCCCCCCCGCTGGCCCCTCCCGTGCCCCCCCCCGCTGGCCCCTCCCGTGCTCCCCCCCGCTGGCCCTTCCCATGGCCCCTCCCATGGCCCCTCCCCTGCCCCCCTTGGTCCTGGCTCATGCAAATGAGCAGCCTGGGCAGGTGGACGAGGTGCTGGGTGGGCGGCACTCACTCGGGGATGCTCTTGGAAGACATCTCTCTCTTGAAGGCCAGCTGGTACTTGAGGCTCTCTACCTCTTTCTTCATCTGTGGGACGTCCCACTCCTCCATGGGGTCGGGGGCTTCGGAAGTCGCCAGCCTGGAGCTGGGGGGCAGGGGAGAAGCCACAGCCAGAGCTGCTCAGCGCGCTCATGTCCTGGTCCTGAGCCCCCAGGACTGAGGGAGGGGGTCCGGGCCTGGGGCCGTCTCCTGCCAGCGTGGCCTGAGGTCCGCAGAGGTGGTGCCAGGGCGCAGGGCCCAGATGTCCCAGACAGCCTCATTAGCCAGCGCCTCCCCCCCCAAAGGAGCTCATTAACTGCAGGGCAAACTTCCATCCCAGGCTCTGCACCGCAGTCCGCAGCCTCCCTGCCGGGGCCCAGGGTGCCCGCGCCGGCCCCCTCCCCCACTGCCCCCCGCAAGCAGGGGCCCTCCCGCTGTGCGCAGGTGGGAGCCCCGGGCAGGTCCTAAGCCCGCCCACGGCTGGGGGTGTGGCTGCCATTTGCATCCCAGGCCGAGCCGGCTGCGTGCAGGTGTGGGGTGCTGCCCCTGCCCTTCCCATCTCCAGGGCGTCCGCCAGTCCCTTCATACCCCACCCCGGCTGCCGGGGCTGGGCCGGGCAGAGCACCTAGGGGGGTGAGGCTTTGGAGCCTGGCCTGGGAGGAGGGGGTCGGCCAGAAGCGGGGCTGAGGGCCCGCAGACAGGTTCCCCCAGAGCCTGAGGTCCGGGCCCTGCCCTGCCTGTGTCCCGACGCGGCTGTCCCACCGCCCTGCCTTCTCTCAGGAGTTGGGGTTGGGTATGGAGGGTACGGGGCCTTGGTCCCCCCTCCCGCCCGGCGCCTGCTGGCTGAACTTACTCTGGAAGGTGACAAGCAAGAGCGTGTGGTGGGTAGCGGTGGTGGCTGGAGAGGCGGGCAGCAATGAGCAGCTCTGCAGGGCTGGGCAGCGAGGCTGGCAGAGCCGGGCAGGCGCCCCGCCCACTCCTGCCACCTGGGGCCGGGCACCGCCTCGCTGGGCTGGGCCAGGAGCTCCCCCCACCCCCGTGGCTCTGCTGACCCCTCCCGGCGTGCAGTGGGGCCCTGCAGGTGCCGAGGCCTCCGGGGCTGCCTTGGGGGCCAGTGGCACCCAGACCAGAAGGCCCCTTGGGTGGAGGGAGGCCAGGACCCCTGCCCTGCCCTGCAGTCACTGGCCTCCCGGCTGCCAGGGGCTGCTGAAGGCCTTGGCCAGGTGTGGTCCCACCCCCGGCCCAGGGGCCTGGGCCTCCCAGGAGTTGCTCCCTGTGCTATGGCTTCAAGTTGACAGCACCCTGAAGGAGTCAGTCTGGCCAGGCTGGGGGGGCTGGGGCGGGGCCTCTGGCTGGGCTGGGGGGGGGCCGGGGCGAGGGGCCTTGTGCCACACATGCCTGGGGTTGCTGTGCTGAGGGGAGGGGGCCGGGGAGGCCCTGTGCTCATCAGCCCTGCACAGCTCTGCTGAGCACCTCGCTAGCGCTCAGCAGAGGGGCTCCCTAGGGGCCGCGAAGTGACGCACGGGCCGGGCTGCACCCTGGGCAGGGGCCCCCAGACAGCAACCAGGGGCCGCGGGGGGTGGGGCGGAGGGAGGGAAGGGAGGACACCAGGTGCCGCACAGGACTAGGAGAGGCTCTGTAGGCAAGCCATCCGCCCACTGCCTGGGCGCTAGGAGCCCCCAGTGCTGGCCTGGCGGGGAGGTGGTCTGTGGACAGATGGAGCTGGGCCCGGCACTGGTTGGCAGACTTCCCTGCAGGGGCTGGTGAAATGGGGTCACCTGTGCCTCACGGCTGGGCTTGGTGTGTGGCTGGGTCAGGAGGCACCTCTGGAACTGGGGCATGGGAGGAAATGAGGGATTACTGTCTTCTGTGGATTTGGGGTATGGGGAGCTTGAGGCCGTCAGGGCCAGCCTGCCTCGGGGCAGATGGCTGCCTCTCGGCGTGGGGGAGGTTTACCTCGGGGCTGGCCTGTGCACACCCTTCCTGCTTGGGTCCCCCTGTGCTTTGGGTGTGCACGCCAGTACGTAGCCAGTAGGGACACCCTGGGAAGAGAACTCTGGAGTTAGAACATGAGGTTAAAGGGTCCTGCCAGGAGGCCCTGGATGCTGTGCACTTGTTGCGGTGCAGGAATGTCTCTGGTCCGAGCTCCAGTGGGAATACCACAAGCCTCACGGCCCAGGACCCTGTACTGCTTAGCACGCCCCACAACAGGCCCACCATACCTAGGTGTTTCCTAAGATGCAGCCGGGTGCTGGTGGCTCATGCCTGTCATCCTAGCTACTCAGGAGGCTGAGATCTGAGGATCGTGGTTCAAAACCAGCCCAGGCAAGAACATCTGTGAGACTCTTACCTCCAATGAACCACCAGAAAACGAAGTGGCGCTGTAGCTCAAGTGGTAGAATGCTGGCCTTGCATGCCTGAGGCCCTGGGTTTGATTCCCCAGCACCACATAAGCAAAAAGAAAAAAGCCGGAAGTGGCGCTGTGGCTCAAGTGGTAGAGCGCTGGCCTTGAGCTGAAGAGCTGAGGGACAGTGCCCAGGCCCAGAGTTGAGGCCCCATAACCAAGAATAAAAATAGACCCAAGATGCTCATAGCAAGGGGATGCAAGTACTGGTGTGGCCCTGGGTTCAGGCCTGGGTTGGGGTGCATGTCCCACTGATCTGGTTCCTGGGGTGCTCACCACAGAGGGCAGGCTGGGATGGGGGGGTGATCACTGTGTAGGGCAGTCTGGTATTGACCCCCCCTTTTTGTTTTTTTGCCAGTACTGGGTTTGAATTCAGGTTCTGGGCGCTGTCCCTGAGCTTCTTGTTCAAAGCTAGCACTCATCACTTGAGTCACAGGGCCACTTCATCCTTTTTCTGTGCGTGTGGTGCTGAGGAATGGAACCCAGGGCTCAAGTGCTCCTCTGCCGCCTCTGCAGGCCACGCCCACCGCCCCGCGGCCCCTTGTCTGCCAGCAGAGTGCAGTGTCCCCATCTGCCCGGTGTGAGTCCCTTCAGGGTACCTCAGCTCCTCCAGACCCCTGAGGCCTGGTCTCCACCAAGACAGGGCCCAGAATCCCTTTGTGCTCAGCTTCCTGCCAGGCTCTCCAAGCGGAGCCCACTCGGCCTGCCGAGGCTCCTGGGTCTGGTCCCGACTCGCCCTGGCCTATGTTCTGGCCATCTTGTTTCCTACTGCTGGCCCACTCAGGTGCCAGCAGCTGTCCCAGAGGCTTCTCGTGAAATTAGGGCACAAATTGGGCCACCAGGTAAGCACACAGGCTCCTGCTGGCCTAGAAATGGCCTCCCTGGGCTGGAGTGCCCCCAGTGGGCACGCAGGCCGGCGGGAGCACGGGCTGAGGGGTCCACACGGGCCGGGCCGGCCTGACCATCTGTGCACACGGCCTCCTGGCGGTGCCACTGGCAGGAGGGGTGCGGGCCGGGGTGGGGGAGGTGGCCTGCGGTGGGCAGTGCCCTGGGGCTCATCTCGGGGGCTTCTAGAAGCAGCTCCAGTGTATGCGGGAGGCTCTGGTAGGGCAGTGGGCCCAGCGGCAGGGGGAGCCAGTGTCTGTGAGATGGCCACATCCCAGGGCCAGGCCGTGTCCAGCAGCAGGGGCTGGGCTGTGTGTGTGTGCGCGCGCGCGCGTGTGCGTGCGTGCCCACGGGGCCAGCGTGCCCCGTGCGTCCTGCCTGTGCAGGATGGCTGCCCAGTGCGTGACCCCTGGGGCGGGGGGAACAGGACAGGCGAGCCCCGACGTGCAGGACCGCCGCCCCATGCATGACCCCGGGGATGGGGGGACAGACGAGCCCTGCCGTGCAGGACGGCCACCCCATGTGTGACCCCAGGGATGGGGGGGACAGGACAGGCGAGCCCCACCGTGCAGGACCTCCGCCCCGTGCATGACCCCGGGGGATGGGGGGGACAGATGAGCCCTGTCGTGCAGGACCGCGGCCCCATGTGTGACCCCAGGGATGGGGGGGGACAGGACAGGCGAGCCCCGCCGTGCAGGACCAGCACCCCGTGCATGACCCCGGGGGATGGGGGGACAGACGAGCCCCGCCGTGCAGGACCACCGCCCCGTGCGAGACCCCGGGGGATGGGGGGGACAGGACAGGCGAGCCTCGCCGTGCAGGACCAGCGCCCCGTGCGTGACCCCGGGGGATGGGGGGACAGACGAGCCCCACCGTGCAGGACCGCGGCCCCATGTGTGACCCCGGGGGATGGGGGGGACAGGACAGCCGAGCCCCACCGTGCAGGACCAGCGCCCCATGTGTGACCCCGGGGGATGGGGACAGACGAGCCCCGCCGTGCAGGACCACCGCCCCGTGCGTGACCCCGGGGGATGGGGGGGACAGGACAGGCGAGCCCCGCCGTGCAGGACCAGCGCCCCGTGCGTGACCCCGGGGGATGGGGGGACAGACGAGCCCCACCGTGCAGGACCGCGGCCCCATGTGTGACCCCGGGGGATGGGGGGGACAGGACAGCCGAGCCCCACCGTGCAGGACCAGCGCCCCATGTGTGACCCCGGGGGATGGGGGGGACAGACGAGCCCCGCCGTGCAGGACCACCGCCCCGTGCGTGACCCCGGGGGATGGGGGGGACAGGACAGCCGAGCCCCACCGTGCAGGACCAGCGCCCCGTGCAGGACCCCGGGGGATGGGGGGACAGACGAGCCCCACCGTGCAGGACCAGCGCCCCGTGCAGGACCCCGGGGGATGGGGGGACAGACGAGCCCCGCCGTGCAGGACCGCCGCCCCGTGCGTGACCCCGGGGGATGGGGGGGACAGGACAGGCGAGCCCGGCCGTGCAGGACCGCCGCCCCGTGTCTGGGCGCGGAGGCGGAGGGAGCGGCCCCGGCCCGGGGACCTGAGGCTCTGCACGCGGCCTTCGGCTGCTCCCCAGAGCCAGACCCGACCAGCAGCGGCGACAAGTTGCTGCCCCGGCCCAGCTCCTCGGCGGCAGCTTCCGGTCGGGACCGGAAGGGGGGGAGTCGTGGGCCGGCTCCCGCGCGGCCGTCTTTGAAGCGGGCAGAGACTCCAGGAGGTCGGTCCCGGGTGGCTTTGCCTGCGGGCCGGGAGCGCGCCGGGGCGCCCC